AGAGAAAAGAAAAGAAAAGAAAAGAAAAGAAAAGAAAAGAAAAGAAAAGAAAAGAAAAGAAAAGAAAAGAAAAGAAAAGAAAAGAAAAGAAAAGAAAAGAAAAGAAAAGAAGAAAGAAAAAAAATGGTATTCTGCTTTGTGGCTGTTTTCTCTTTGGTGCCTCTTTGAGGATCCATCATTCTTTGTATTCTGGTCATTGCTTCCTTCCTTAAATAAAAGAGATGATTAGGTGAATAGGCTAAGAAATGATGAGAATAATATTGAAGTTTGGAGACAGAACTTGGCTTTAGAGTCCGTACAGAATAAAAAAATATTATCTGCTTTCATCTTTTGCATACCAGATCTCCTTTACGGATGGTGTTAGTCTCATTAGCTTAAAAAATTTCTTAATACTGGTGCCACTGTGCGGTAGCTGACTTTATTCTTTCGAAAAGAAGCCTTGGAACGTCTTTAAAATTCTGAGTTTCTTGTTCTGTGAACATGTTCTGAGATCTCTTTAAATCTAAAAAAACTGGCAGGAGTTTAAAAAGTTTCTTAGATGTCCAAATAAGCTTGTTTTTTTATATGTACCCTTTACAAGTTTCAGGATAAACTTTTAAGACTGACTGCAAGCAGTTCAGGTTGTTTTTAAAGCACTGGAATTCTTACCAGTTCTCGTAAGTTCGCTTGTTTTTTTCTGGTACCTTGTTAAATTTTATAAACTGTGCCCCTCAAAATTAAATTCACATAGCTGAATATTTTTATTATCATTACAACTTTATTGTACTTAAACAAACTACTTTTTAGACAACTCTACTCCATGTGATCAGTTCTCGTTTCTAAACATTTTCTTCAAAGTCACATTTAAACCTCTAGCTCCATATGAAAGGGATTTGCTGGTGAAAATGTTCTGAAGTTCTTACAGCTATTTCAAATTGAAAAGGATTTTCCCCGTTATTTGGTAAGAAAAAAAATAGAAATTTTCTGCTTCAGCACAGGTTGCTGGCTTGGATAGGCTAGTCTATGTTTATGTATACCTCTTATTTTCTAATTATTTTCTAATTTCTTATTTTCTAAAGCATGGAAAACAGTATTTTCATACTTATTATTGTATTATTTGAGAAGATAAAACCTACTGATTTTTCTCTTGCAGAACAGAAAAGCTTGCTTCTCTGATGACAGCAGGAATTACACACAGTTATACAAGAAAACATCTGTTTAACCCCATGTAACTTCAAAACCATCCTTGGTCTGGTCTAGGTGAGGCTGCCATGTATGAGTATGTGAGCTCACAGCCAAAGGCTAATACTCCCTCGCATCCTTTTTCTCTTTCCTTAAATGATAAATCAGTCAAAATGCTTTGTTTTGTAGACTTTTTCCCAGCCTTTACTAAGGAAAAACATGTTTAATTAATCTGAGAATTAAGGAGCAGTAGGAACAAATATGAATTCTATTGCAATCATTACATGTATAAAAATGCTTAAGATTTCTTTTGCCTTTGAAATTGTATCTGGATAAACTATGCTTGTATCAGTCCTGCAGAATAAGTACACCTTTTTCCACATCCATTCAATTTTAAATGAATATTTTTCTTTAAACCCAGCATCATCTAAACTGGAGCACATATTAGAGTTGATGCAGGTACAGAAGGAAATTGATTAAAATGATGTTTGGGAAGAAGCACAGGAATTTCAGGCTTGTTTTTTGACTGGAAGTTAATAGAGTGAATCACTCTCGGGTGTTACATACAGGTAATCATTTCAATGCATGCTGCATTCTGTGTCAGGATTTAGAGTGTTAAGGCTCGTGACAAGGGACCTGAATCACTGCAAGAAATGCATGCTAATAAAACAGGGGGAAACAAAACAAAACAAAGAAACAAACAAACAAAAATACCCACAAACCACTGCGTTCGTTCTCATACTTTATTTTTGGCTGCGCATGGCTCAAATCTCATTACATTTTAGAAACTGTAGCCTTGCAAAGCAATTAGACCCAGTGTCTTAGTATTACACTGTGAACTTGGTTCATATATTTCAGATCTAAGTAAATGTAGAAAAAATGTCTTCCAGGAAAACATAATGAAAGTCAGCAACATAAATTGATAAAAATCACTAATCATTAGCTGAGCAATCATGTAATATACTGTCCCTACAGTCCCTACAAATTTCCTTCTTACTATGCCTCTTGATAATATGCATTCATTTTCATTTCATTTGGTGTGCACATACACTACACATTCACAGGTAGTCTGGAACATTTAGTAAGGGAGAACAGTGAACAGAGTAGCTGCTTTGACATTGTGCATTGTTTTTGTTTTTCTGGCACAGGAAAAGAAACAATGTTATATTCTTGGAATTATTAGTATCTAAAGAGGGACTTAACACAATTATGCATTGATTTGGCAGTTCTTTCATATTTCTCCTTTTTCTTAATTAAAAAAAAAAACATCAGATTTTTTTCCTTCCATCTAAATCCATCTCAAAATTTTAAAGCTGATCTTGTTTCATTCTTTCATTATGGAAGTTGGTGGCCCTGCATGTGGTGGGGGAGTTGAAGCTTGGTGATCCTTGAGGTCCCTTCCAACCCAAGCCATTCCATTAAGGTATTTCAGGCAAGTTAGAGGATCATGAATTTCTGCTGCTGTAACTTGACAGTTTGCACTGATGTTGGTGTCTTTGAGAATGCTTAGCAGTCCTTAAATAGTTTTGAAAAAAGTCTAGAAAGATGTAGCTTGGAATTTCTCTCCTACTTTTCAGGATGATTGCAGGATTTGATATTTTTGTCTTTTGACACAGTTACTCTACAGGAACACCTCTCTTTCTTGACTCTCCTGAAATGCAACAGGAGAAGCAGTAACCTTTGGGAAGAGAACACAGTTTGAGACACAGGCTATTCAGGCAAAGTTCAGGATGGAGGATCATTTCACCTATAACCTGCTACAAATGTAAAAGTCAACAAATGGGTCACCTCAACTCTTTAGAAGTGTTTAGGAGTAATAGACACTTCTGACATAATTCTGTGTTACAGTTCTGTGTCTGTGTTAGAGTGACAAAATATACAATGTTTGTTTTCTATCTATGGACTTCTTTTGAGTCCCTTTTTCTATATCTTGGTTTAGAATGAGCTTTTATTCCCCTTGGTTTTATTCTGTTGTTTGTTTGGTTTTCATTTTGTTTTCTTTTTGTCTCTCACATATGTAGATTTCAGTTCTGTTGTCCATTTTTTGACGTATTTTTTTCTATTTCAAATAGCGGTTCTCTACAGTATAAACAATGGAGATGAAAGACCTTTCTTTTTGCTGCAAGGTAAAAATAGTTTTGAAAATCATAAACCTCTGCTGTTGACTGTACAGAATAATTGCTTTTTTTTCTTTTCCAAATATCTTTTCAATATTATGAGAATGTCTCATAATAATAATTCCAAATGGAAGATCTTGAAGGAAAAGCTGGATAAGAATACTATTTCTATCTTTAAAAACATCTGTATGTATACCCAGATGTATACAAGTGTTAAACTGAGTGTGCTGGTGCTGAATACATTTAAATATGTGATTATAGTTATAATTCTGAAATGAAGACTTTAGTCATAAATTGATACTCTGAAGCTTGTAGTTAGTACAGTGCTTGGTTGGATCTTTGTTCTGTTAGACAAGATCTTTATTGAACACCCATCATTCAAAGAAGATTTAAGAAAAGCAGATTTGTCTCTCGACTGCTCCCTTTTATCAAGTGGAATGAAAAATACTTTTACAAGCTATTCCATAAAAGCAAGGTGATTAGAACTTAGAGGAATCTATAGTGGTTGGAGTTATGCAGTCCAAGGAATTTGTGGTTTTTTTCTTGAGGTTGAGAGAGACTTTGGATGATGTATTTTCAGTATTCTTCCTCCCTTAAACATAAATTTGATTTAATCCAAAAGCAAAAAAATAATTATATGATTTCAACCTCACTTGAATCCAATAAGCAAAAGCATAAGTTCTCACTCATTACTGTGGCTTCCAGTTTTACATATATAGTGCTTTTCTGGAAATTACCTGAGACTACATCCAACATTCTGGAGGAATATTCTGATCCATAAAATTAGAAAGTGATGTCACCTTCAATATCATAGCTCTGCTGAAGACTATTGAATGATACAAACCAGGTAGTTGCGAACCTATCATTGGAGGGCATTTTTGGTTTTGCTGGAGTGAGATATGTTCCTTAAATCCTTTTTGGTGCCTAAGAACAGGAGTGAGACTTTTTCACAAGGTTGCTTATGTTTAACATTTGTATTAGAATTATAGAATCATAGAATCTTAGATTGTCTTAGATTGGGAGGGACCTTAAATAGCATCAAGTGTTAGCTCCTGCTGTGGGCTGGCTGCCCCTCACCTGATCAGGCTGCCTACGGCCTCTTCCAAACTGGCCTTGAGCACCTCAAGGAATGTGGCTTCCACAGTTTCTCTGGGTAATTTGTTCCAGTCTTTTGTATGTCTTTCTGCATACAGGGTACATTCTTAGGCAGTCCTTCAGGGATTTGGAGTCTGTGCTGGGTACCAAAAAGGTATAATTGCACACTTCAAACATCCAAACCATTTTGTATGTGTGATCCTTAAGTCACTTCTGGACTAATTATCATTTTAAAAGAAATATTAATTGATGAAGCAATTTCAATGCTCTTGTTCAAAAATGTACATTTCTGACAGAACTGGGGAATCAAACCTCTTGTGATAGGCTCCAGCCACCAGTTGCAACTTATTGTTTTTCCTGCCTGTTAATGGATCATTATTTTACTATCTACTTGTCAGAAGAATAAAAGCTAAACATATTAAAAGAAATCCAACATACCAAAAAAGAAAACAATCTGTTCAGGAGTTGCAGCTCTCACTTAAAATGAGAGCTGATAGGAGAAATATAGGAATGGTACCTCCTCTTCCAACCTGCAAGATCTAAATGCTTTTAGATATATGGCTGTACAGTTCCTCCTGTTGATTCTCTGTCAGTTTTAAACCTCATAATCTTTGTCTCTACTCCCCAAGCTTTTCTTCTTTATGAGAGTGTTAACCTTCTTCCTTTTTTTTTTCTATTGAAATCTGTGGGAGAGTAAGTGCAGGATCTGGTTCCTAAAGCTGCTCCATCACGTTGCCAAGTAACCAGAGAAGGAATATGTTTTGTTTTCCATGGAGGGCAGGAAGGATCAGAGTGCTTGTGTGAAAGATCACAGGTAAGAATTTAAATGTGCATATTTAAAGCAAAAATAGCTACTAGAAGTGAATGTTAAGGAGATTGAAACTTGCAAGGAACTGACTTTAAGAAATATAACATGAGGGAGTTCCTTTTAATTTCTAGCTTTTAACCCTTCTATGTTGCCAAAAATGAAATATGTTCTTAAATGGATCTATATGCATCATCTTACAAAAAATCAATGCTTTTAGCATTTGTGTGCATCACTTGTAGTAGTGTGATCTACCTGAACTTCAGTGAGGAGAAACAGTAGCATCTTTCATATCAAAGGAAATCACAGGAGCAAATGACTTCATTTACCAACACCTTGAGATCTTACACCTATCTTCACTGTTTCTTATGTGTTGCCTTGCATCTGAAATCCAGACATGTGATGATGTTTTCAGTCTTAAGTAAATGTTTCTGATATAAAAAAGAACACTATTACTGTAAATAAGTCATAATTGAATGTTCTTTTGGTCATTTTTCTCATTTCTTCTGCATAGAAAATCATGGATTATTTCCAGTAACAGAATAACAAAATCCACTATATACATACATTTACATACATTTAACAGATAATTTCTTATTAATGACTACAGACATTATAAGGTATATACAAGAAACAATAGTAAACAAATGTGGAGCCATAGTTCCTTTATCTGGAAGCCCACATAGAATATCTGAGTCCTGTCCTTTGAATGACTCCTGTTTTTTGTTGGCATTGCAGAGCCTAAGGAAATGTGTGATCAGTGGGCAGACTGAATCCAGCATGATCCTTCCACTTAGAGACATTCTGTACCCTAAGGTAATTTTTCTCCTATTTGCAAGCTTCACAGCAACTACAGCTGTAAACTTAAGCCCTTATTCAGTGTGAATGACATTGGCTGACCAAGTTATCTCCTGTACCTCCCCTTGACAATAAAACAGTGCTAGGGTACCTGCTCTGGTTGGCTTGTATTAAGATTATATAAAAAGGAAAATGTAAACCTATGACTCCTTGCACAACTTCTTTTGTTCCTTGATAAATTAGTCTTGGAAGAGCCTCCCACTTCTCAAGTGTCAATTGCGCGATCAAAGTTCTTGTCTCCACACTTAAGAATATAAAAGCATATCATATGAGTGAATCTGGTTAGTTTCAAATAATTGTTTGGAATTAAAGGAGTTCATGGTCTTTCCTTGCTTCAGAGCCTGAACCAAATTACAGCTGGTTTGGTCAAAGAGTTGAGCGCATCCATCCTAGAGGCTCATCAAATGCCAGAAGGACTGCTTTGTGAAGCTGTAGTATTTCCATCCCTAGAACCATAGAATCCTAGAATCATATAGGTTGGGGAAGAACTGTAAGATCAAGTTCAGTCATTAACATAATACTGTCAAGTCTACCACTAAATCATGTCTGTAAGCATCACATCTACCTGTCTTTTGAATACTTACAGTAATGGTGACTCAACTACTTCCCAGGATAGTCCACCAACGCTGGTGATACTCAAAACATAACTGCTTATAGTCTTGAGCAAAGACGTCTAGCTATCCCTGGTTTTAGAAGGAGTGCTTAGACTAGATCACCTCCAGAAGTCCTTTTCAAGATCAGCCATTTGGATGGTATTTTTGTGGCACATATAAGGGGAGATGAACAGCATTGCAATGTGTGATCTGGATCTGATCAAAGAATTCTGCATGAATATGTGAATATTAGATATGGAAAGTGCTTAGGATATCAGACTCATTCTGAAAAGCAGAGGCAGAGTGTGTTGTCAAACACATAAAGTTAGGTAACTATAGGGAACAGGAATCCATTTTGGCAGGTTAATTCTGTTCCACAATAACAACAGTTAGTATATTTTCTCTAATATAAGTGATCAACGTGTTGATACTGTTTGAAGTTATTCTTTCCCATTCTTACAAAGCATTACAATTACAAGCTGTGTAGCTGGCATATCTTCCCTTTGTACAGGAAAGGTTTCACACTGAAAATTGCATTGAAATTCACACCAGTCAATGGAGTTCTCTATGAATTGAATGCCCTTAATATGAACTAAAATAAAGTAGGGTCAGAAGGCAAGGGGTAATATGTCATCCATCAAGACAAGGTGGCCTTGTCCACTTCCCCTCTTCAGAGCAGTTCTCTCATGGCACTATTCAAGTTGAATCACTTGCAAGGGAAAACCTCTCCTGGTTCAGATGAAATTTCTTCCCAGAAACATGGTAACACTTAAAGAAGTTCAGATTCCAATGGACCTAGTGCTCTAGCTTGTGTTTTGGTGGTGCTCAGTTTACTAAGACAAATGTGAGGGAACACTGACTCATTCACATCTAATTTTAAGGACAAAGAAACTACATTCTCTAAAATGTCTCATTTTATTTATTTATTTATTTATTTATTACAGTTAAATATTAACAAAATGAACAAGTCTGCAATCAAAAACAAAGCAAAAAAAGCCCTGCAGCATTCCTGGTATTAGCAAATGGCATCATAATTTCATCATCATGAACTGTATTTGCTATAATCTGGGCTTATTCTGGGATGTTTGACAGCAGAACATGATAGAGATCTGTGAAGGTCAGCGAACTGGCATCAGTTTAAATCAGATGATTATCTGCTCATTTATTTTGAATGTAAAATGATGATTACAGGGAAAGGAACCAAGAAAAGGGCTTTCATCATAAGGAGGAGTTTGAAAAGAAGATTCCTCGGGGTTTGGGGTGGTTTGAGAGGAGTTTCTATGTTTAGTTTTAGACTGCCCAAAAGAAGGCAACTTTAAGAGTTTAGGCACTTTAAGTACTTAGGCACTTTTCTCAAACGCTTGCTCTGTACTACATTTATTTATAATTCTTTTACATTTACTGTAATTAAGTCTTTATTGATTTGACATAAACCAACAGCTGCATTTCACTATGGAAGTCAACTGAAAAATAAATGTCATCTACTAAGCATGGACAATACACTTGAGACTGCAGATGACATGTATTAAATTCTCTTATCATTTTTGTACCTCTTCAAGCACAGTATCAATTATATACACACTTGTAGCCAGAGCTTCTACATGATAGGCTGCTTATAAAGTCTTTGCTGTATAATGAACTATAAACAACCTGCTCCACTTAGATCAGTTTTAAATAGAGTTTTGTATTAAGAGAAATCTTTGATGTGGAAATTTTTTTCACTTGAAATTCATCCTCTTAACATGATTGGCTTGGCTTTTGGAGGCAATATTTTTGTACTTTATTTAGAAGATATATTCACTGAAATTCATAAACAGCAAAATAACTACTTCTGAACAGTACTATGTTTTACTGATGCAGATGCTGGAGCTGCAGAAGGCCTAGGAACACTCTCAAAACTATCTCACTTTCAGGTACAGGGCTGACTATGCTATCTGCTCCACTGGGCTTTGGATGCAAGCAAGCACAGACCAACACCTTCATGAAAGGTATCAGTGAATATAAGGACAATGGTTATGACCAAATAACAGAATAGCTGACATTTCAAGAGACCTCTGGAGGTCATCTGCTCCAACTCTCTACTCAAGTAGGGATGCCTGCAGCATGTTGCCAAGGATCATGTCGTGTGGGCTCTTGAAGGATTACAAGGAAAGAGACTCCAACAACCTCGCTGGGCACCACAACCTCTATGGGCAAATCAAATTATCAGTGACCTGGGAAGGGAAAATTGGGTTGTTGGTCAGATGTGACCCAGGGCACCAGGATTTTATGGCATTCTACATAGAAGTGTACTGTTCCACTTAAGTGGGTGAGGAAGTATTTTATACATGGGTAAAGGGAAGCCCTTTTCATATGAGCAGGGTCAGAAACTGGTGGTTCCTGAGGCTGGAGTTCCCACAGTTATTTTTCAGATGACATAATGTATTTATCAAGTAAGTCAGTTATTTGTCAGATGGTTAAAAGATTTATCTGGATGCCACATCATAGATATTGCTTGAATGATGTGAAAGTTCAGTCTTTAATTATGTGTTTTAAAGAAAAGCTAATAAAAAATCTTGAGGTACATAACAGAGGCCCAAAAGCCCTGCTTTTGACCCACATCCTTCAGAAAATCTGACACAGTGAAATTATCTATTTGTCTTCCCGTATTTTTAAGAGTCTGTCCACTGACTAATATGGCCACGCACAGACCAAGACTTGATTAAGCTGTAGTTATCACAATGACATATAAGCACATATTGAATTGATTTTCCAGTGTAAGTTCTGCACACTTGAATGTCTGACGTACTTATCCAGGCACATGGACAGCATGTAGTCATTACATCACCTAAAATCTACTGAGCCCTTATACTCTGCAAAGGTATGAAACCTCATTAATTTATTTACTATGATTACTATGATACTTATTTAGTATGATTCTATGATTCTATTTCATATGGAATATTGATTGCTATGTTTTCATTTTTAAACTTGCCAAAATGTAGTTGAATATATTCATATTCAGATTTTTTTTTTAATTATTTTCTTGCAGATTGTTTGCAAATACTCCAGTTCTTTTCCAGTCATGTTCAGGCTTTGTAATAGCAAACCCACTAACATTTGAAGGCAAGATGGAGAGGAGGCTTGTAGATTGCAACAAAAGGAAAACAACTAGGGAAATTGTTTTCCTTGTGTCAGGAGGTACTTCTGCTGGATTTTACATTATTAAACCAAGTATCACTTATCACTGTGGAAACGTGAAAGAAATACTTCTCCTTCCTCCATTACTCCTTTTGTCCCACTCTAACTCATTCAGAGTGAATCTTGTCATTCATAGAATTCATGTCCTGTACCTGAATGCTCCCGCTGAATAGAATAATTAGTTTCATAGGCATTGCTGATTTAGTTAAATACTTATGTTTATAACACTTTGCATAATATCTAGACATAGAAAAGAGAAAATTAACAGTGAACTTCTTTCTATGAGTTCAGTTGTTTTACATGATCCAGCTAGTAATAAGAAGGTTTAAATGCAGTTCCCATAGCAACAGGGCAATATAACTTTTATGAAATGCAACTACTACATTTATGAAATGTAACTACTATACTATATTATAATGATGGAGCAATTTTCATGCCCTTTGATTTTTTTTTTCCAGATTTTTCTTGCACTAAATCTCATCCCAGCAAGAAGCAAGATGCATTATGTTTGTATGTGGGTTTTCTGTTCTGACACTGGCTGTTTTTTGTTTGTTTATTTGTTTTGTTTTGTTTTTAATGGACAGATTCAAAGTATTTAATTCAGACACCCAAAATAGCAGATCCATAACCGGCTGCCAATTTGAGTCATGTGTAAATCAGTGAGGTACCTCTCTAAATAATCCATGCTCAGCACCTCTCAAGAATGAGAGTGATGCTTTGCTTCTTCTGCTCAATTGAGAACCACCTGCAGGAAGGGAAATTCCAATCAGAAGTAAATATTTGAGCTCTCACGTCTCTGAGGAAACATACCCAAACATACAGTGCTGCATTAATCACTGAGAAATGCAAGTATTTAGCAGAAGGAAAACATTAAAAGCTAAGAAAGTCCATTATCCTCAGAGAGTCAAGAAAGTACTTACAAAGAATAAAATAACATTCTATGTCTGTGCTGACTCACCCATTTCGTAGAATCATAGAATGATTTGGACTGGAAGGGTACTGAAAGATCACCTCATTCCAATCCCCTGCCATGGGCAGGGCATCCATGCTTGATGCTTTGCTCATCAAATCTGGCTTTGAATGCTTCCAGGGATAGGGCATCCATGCCTTCTCTAGGCAGACAGTGCCAGTACCTCACCATCCCCTGATCAAGTGATTTCATCCCAACATCTGATCTAAATCTCCCCTCTTCTAGTTTAAAACCAGTCTTCCTTGTCTATCACCATCTTCCTGAGTAAAAGGGTGGTCTCCATCTTTTTTTATAAGATCCATTTAAGTACTGAAAGACCACGATGAGGTCTCCCAGGAGCCTGCTGTTTCTTACCAATGCTTATACAAAGATCCTGAGGGAACTTATTTTGTCATTTAGGTTAGGGGGAAGAACTCCAGAGAAATGGGCTTCCCGTTGGTGTAGCTGCATAGATCAAGAAAGCTGGATTTAGTTGAAAAGAAGCAAAAATTAATTTCATGGCAAGTACTAACTCCAGTTATTCCCTGCTGCACAGAGAGGTGTAATGAAACATTGGGAAAATACAGGCAGAAAGGAGATGGAGATTACTGGAGCACATCTATTGGTTGTAGAAACAAGATGACTGATAAGACAGTGCTGGTGAGGAGAGTATGCCTACAACATGCACTTATGCATGCATAGTCTGAGTGACAGCATTTAGGCACCATGAAGCTGGATCTCCAGAGACATTTAACTCATTTCATTGCACTGATCAGGACAAGTCTGTGCACTCATTCAGCTGTAAATACAGCTCAGCTTTCGTAGAAGGTCATAAAGGAGCCATAATTATCTCATTAAGCAAATTGTTCCACTATCTGATCAAGTTGTGCCTTCAATATTTCCATTACCTGCTTTAATATTGAAATGGAAGGTGCAAAAGTATCTACTGATATCAATAAAGAACATGCTACTGTAGTCAACTAAACTACAGAAACTTAAAAATAAAATAGGTTCTGACCTATTCACTACATATATTTTTATGTTGTTTCCTCCTCACTTTTATGTTATTGAAAATATAATTATGCAGGAATTATCCTCTATTATGCAGGAAACAAATTATAGATATCTATATTCATCCTGAGGTTAAATAAAATACGCTTTACCAGCATAGGAGAAAAGCATGATTAGAAGAGGAGAAAACATCTAGGAACAAATGAGGGAAGAGAAGATCTAAATTTATGTGGTAGCTTCTGTTATATGCCTTTGATTTCCAGCTCCATGCCATTCAGGATGCAGATTGCTACTTAGAATCATAAAATCCTTAGAGTTGGAAAGGACATTTAAGGGCCATCTAGTCAAACTCCCCTGCAAAATACAGGAACATCACAGCTAGATCAGGTTGTCCTGGGCCTGATGCAGCCTCACCTTGAAAGTCTCCAGGGACAGGGCATGAACTACATCTCTAGGCAACCTGTTCCAGTGCCTCATCATCCTCACTGTAAAAGACCTTTTCCTTATATCCAGCCTAAATCTACCTTCTTTAATCTTGAATTCAACTTTGCAATTGAATTTTCAATTTTTTCAATTGTTTCAACTTTGTGAACCATTCTTCTTATTTTTTTTCTTCTTACTTATCAGATAAGTTAGAACTTGATTTAGAGATAAATTAAAAGACTTTCTCTGGTTATGATGAATGCCAATGCCTCCAGAGGATTTATGCTGCCTCTGGTATTCACTAGTTGCTTAGCCACTGAGGTAGCATGCCAGAAAATATGTGTACATGATACTCATAGGACAGATGATGCCAGCAAAATGTTCTTGTGAAATCCCCGTATACTGAATGATCCTCCTGTGACAGGTTATTTTGGATTTAACACCAGCTTATGAAATGAATGTGATAGAAGTAACAAGGAGCAAGAAATAATATGCCTCATAATACAATTGTATCAAAACTAACAAATAATAAGGGACAGTCTTTAAAAATATATACTTACCTTGTGTTTGCTCCCATAATAAACAGTAGTTAGTATAGGTACCAGCACCCTGGTGAGATCTTAAAGAACTTCCCTGCTACAGTTATTTCGTATTGCAATATCATCTGTCATTTGCAGAAAGATTAACAGTTTTTGACCCAAGCTTCATGTCAAAGAGGAGAAATCAGCATCTTAACTGCTAGATAAGCGTATGATATGGGATATATTGCTTGTAACCACGAGAGGGATGACATTACAAGGGCATT